TTTGCACGTGTGGCACGAGCGAACTGTCGCCGAATTGTTGCGCGGATCAGACAGGTTGCTACCATTGTCATCACACACATACACACACGCGCGCGCGCACACACACACACACACACACACAGATTCACACACTCGCTGTTTAACTTTAATTTAAGGCGTACCCGATACAATGCTCGATAGTTTTCAAGAGGCACTGTTATCAGCTTTCTCGGTCGGCGGCAGGCAGAGATGATTATTTCGAATCGTCCGTTATGATTATTTAGTAATTAACACAAATGAATAATGCCGCGGCTCGGAAAATGATATTATCAAAAGTGTTGAAAAGAAGAATCATGATATCAAACGAATTATTCTCCTGCCGACGTTACTCGACAAGCTATACATTTTCGCAAGGGCATTTACTCGATTATTCAACTCTCATTTTCTATCATCGACAACGCCGGCGAAATTATCGTATCACTTATTCCGCATTTTAATCCTGTATTTTTTTCTTATCAAATTCTCATATTCGTTTAATTCCGTCAATAAGGTTCAGAATATTCAGATAAAAGGAGAAAATATTAAAAGTCCAAAGATTCATTGTCGAATCAGACTGTCAGTTTCCGTCAGCATCTTATATCTTCATAAGATAATCATCGTCATCATAGTTAACATGTCTATACGTCTGCAAGACGAAACGTTTGACAGCCAGACGTATTTTCGAAGTACTCCGAGATACGTGATGGACGTTAAAGAGACCGCCAAGAGCCGGTCGTAAATGTTTCCGTCATCCAGACGTAAATAACGACCGGCGTACGTAGTTTCATCAATATGAAACGTTGCTCTCTAGTTGCTACGGTAAGTCACTTCCACATTTAATTCTGCGTATAACGGCGCAAATGTGCGATTTGTGTAACTAAACTTTAATAAAGGTACAACTACAGTCTTATGGTATCGCGCGTCAGCCATTTGCTGTTTTCCCTCTTACATCCATTCCTATCCTTAAACGAGTCGAGTTTAAGAACTATTTTATACTAAACTTAAGAATACTTAAGGAAGCCTCCGCTTTTCCGTTCAACAAAGAGAAAAAAAATGTTAAAATATACGTAATCGTTAACTCACCAGCCGTTCACGACTCCTTCTATATTTAGCATAGGAATTATTTTGAACACATAATCGTCACGTAAACTGCTGGCGTACTGGCTGTCACTTAGGAGGGCCTCCATGGTTCCGTGCATCACCCAAGAAGCGTTGCTTTCACCGGGATGTACTCTGGACGTTAAGAAGATCATCTTTCGAGTCTGGAAGAGGAAAGATGATGGTTAACTCAACATATAACTGTTGCGTCAACCAATGCGCGGTTATATGCCTAAAACAGATTTCTCACGTGTATAGGATTGGTCTCGGAATCTGGTGACGTAATAGTGAGTACAGGATTTTCATTGCCGTTTAAAGTTTCGCAGAGGGTCTCCGCGCGAAAGTACACATTCGCTGCGGAAACCGTTCTCGTCCATTTCCAGATGTTGGTCATCAGCCGACTGTACGTATACGGAAAATGGTAAGCCAGATAACAGACATCATAATCGTGTGGAAATGTGACCGTAAAGGATGTCGTAAAGTACGTTTTCCCCCTGGTAGGCCGTTGATAACAATTCCGATAGTAACAAATGTCGACGCCAGTCCTCATCCATCCTGGTTTACCGCATTGCGCTTCCATGACACTGAACAGTATGGGCTTCATGCCAAAGTTGAACTGCGAGTTCGTCTTTTCGCAGTTGATTATATTGAATGTATACGGTATACTCGCTTCCATGCTGGAGACCTCGAAATAAAACCATTGGTGTCTGGAACCGCTGTTGACATCTGGCGTCAGGATAAGATCGTATTCCCGTTGACCTATCTAAGAAGAAAGCAAATACGAAACGGCGATATGACAAAATTTAAAACAAAAAAAAAAAATTATATACATATCGAAATAAACCATAAGTCACCGTGTTAAATCGTGGCATGAAGTCTTATGTAATACGAACATAATCACATTATATAAAGCGCAAGTAGCAGACCGACCGTACCTGAATAGCTTTCCTCAGATTACCGCTTTCAAATCTAGACTCGAACTGTAATCGCTTCGTGTCCAGGTGGTTGCGCTTGCCAACTCTTTTCTCATCACAATTGCCGAGCAACCGCTCGTCGCCCGACGATCCCCGGGAGGTGGAGTTTGCGAGAGCGTCAAGATCGTAAACGACTTCCTGAACAATGGCAGTGGCGTGGAGACCGCGTTCCACGCAGGTCAGCAGTTTCGCGCGGCAAACCTTCCTGTCCTTAATGTTGAGCGGCTCGGCTTTGCCCAGATCATCGCCACCGATCAGGTCCGGATAGGCGACCTTGACGAAGTCGATAACGCTTCTCGCCCTGCTCGCTACGGCGCAATACGCGTACCGATCCGTGGCGTTCGCTGACACTAGGTTTTCTAGGACCTTCAAACTATGCGTGCCGTTCGTCAATTGACCCTTCGTCGTAGTACCGTTAGAGCTCGAGAAATCCATGATCGAAGGCCTCGTTTTTCCCGCTTTCATAAGCGCCGAGTTTATCTCATCATCCTCTATCAAGCAAAGATCGGTCAGTTTGGCGTTCGACGATCCGACGATGTGTAACTGCGATCGCAGATTTCCTAACTCCTTGAAGAACGTATGATATCTAAAAAAAGAAAAACATTTCTCATTGATAATTATATTTAATATGTATTTATATAAATAATATAAAATATATATTTAATAAAATTATATGTATAAAAATTATATAAAGATCAATGTGCGTTAGGAAAATAATCTTGTACCCAGCAAGATCCTCCTCGGATCTCCGCGAGGTAAAAATCCCAGCGAAGAATTTACTTTCGTCCACCTCGTCTCCTACGTGAATTTCATTGTCCATTATATTTCTGGAGTCGTGGCTCTCCTCATCGTCGCCGGAATCCAAATCACTGTACGATCTACTGATCGAAGCCACACTGTTTGCCTATACAAAAAAAAATCGATATAAAAGTCGCAAGTTGAAATTATATTTTATATGAACGGTACAAGTTCCAACCAGTATGAATATGCGAATATTACAGTATTTTCTATATAAAGCGAACAATATTAAATGAAATATGTGACATTAATAAATGCATGCCTTAATTGGATGTCGCATAATGCATCGAATGTTATGCTCGCGACACATTATGTTAATCCGATTTATCATAAGAACATATAAACACACCTGACTGTCGACATCGCTACCGCTTTCAGCACTGTTCGCTCTGTTGACATTCACTTCGGGGAGAACAAATCTGCATGCGGAAAATAGGATCAATTAAAAATTCAGTGCACATGCAATTATGGAGATACTATCGCGCCGTTCGTAAAATGCGTTTGTTTTTATTTATAAATATAATATCACAGGGCTATTTATCTGTTTTGTTACTCGATCTCGATCGTGACACTAAAAAGCGAGAGCGGACAAAAAAAAGTGTCCATGACATTTGTACAATACTCTTCGTAAAAAAATACTCCGTGTATACATTGGAGTAACAAGCGTGTTATAATTATCTCAAGATACGGTGTATTAATCGAGATGACCTCGAACGTTTCATTCACCTCGCAGGAGACATTTCGGGCACCGGTAATTCCTTTTTCTCCAGGCACTGATTGATTATCCCACAAATACGCGATAACAGGCAGTCATACGCTTTGTCCTCTGGACAACTCGTACAGAACCGGTACAGTAGCTGTAGACCATTGTTCGACTTGATAGCCTTCCTTCCAGCTTCTAGAAGAGGACAAAAAAAAAATAAAACGTGCGTACTCGGCAACTTTGAAGAGAACTACGTTTAATAGAAGATGATGACTGTAAATACAAGCGATTAGCAAGTCTCTCAAACTACTATCCTTCGAGAGGCAATCTTCTCGTAGAAAACTTTTGTAGAGTCAATTTTAATAAACCTACTTATTACGCAGAGATGCTGAAGCGTGTTAAGAGCGTAATTACAAATCTTCAGGCGCATCTGTCCATCACATCTTTCCCATCTCTCGAAGATTCGCATCAGCAGGTGTACCATTCCTGCCTTAACGAATTTGTTACAACACAGTTCTGGAAGTCAAATGTCCGAAATGATACCACGAAAGATCTCGTGAAAGGTAACTTTAATTAATAAAAAAAAAAAAATAGAAATGTTATATGAGACACACGTACTATTGGTCGTTAAATGTTTGAAGCATTCCAACAATGTCCTCAGCTTTAAATGTGGCATATAACCAACGCTGACAAATGTTTTCTCCAAAGTAGCTGTGATACCGTCCTTTACTAACGTTTGCAAGGAAAAAGCTGGAAATATTAATAATATGTTAGTTTATGATCCTCAAAAAAATTTTTAGATAAAAATGATAATTACTTACAGTTTTTAGCAAGAGTTTTAATGATCAATAACAACGGCAATAATGTCTTGCTGTTGTTGTAGTGTTGTTTTAACAATGCGTGGAACACTTTTACGGAGTTGAGCAGTTTTATTTTTGACACAAACTTCTGGTCCCTTTGAGCCACCTAAAAAGAATCATAAATCTTAACAATTTATATAGAATATATTATAAAATAGTAAAAAATTATATATACTCATTTATCTTTTAAATTGATCTTATCTCGTAAACTTTAAGTATTTCAATATAATTCCAGAAATAAAAGCAATAATAAAATATAATGTACAAAATCATAATGGAAAACTAAAAATAATAAAGATAAATTTTATACAAAAAAAATTGAGATTAAAAAATATTTTCTTAGACATACGCAGTGCGATCGATAAAAGTTCTGCTGTGCAGCTATATAACGTGTTTCCTTCTATCGCAGAAACAGCGAACTAAAATAATTGTTTCTAATTACAAAAAAATTAAAATTAAAAAGAAATTTGTTACAGTGCATCAGTCTTTGAAAATCACCTGTCCCAAAATCCAAAGGATCTCTTGAGTAAGTACTTCGCTCGTAATACTGTCTGCGTGTTGCAGATTTATTAAAAGTTTAACTAGGACTTGCGTGATGCCTAAGTTGATCAGTTGAATGACCGCCATTCGGCTACTGGTTCCTATTAAAGGACGAATACGTCACTTCCAAAGAATAAGTGTTAGGAATTTAAATCTGAAAATTCAGCAAAATCTCCGTTTTCCGAGAGAAAATATTTTAACTATAACAAACAATTGCAATTACTTGTGGTGTTTTTATTCTTGCTACCCCTCTCCTTAGATTTGCTTTTGGTCACTCGGGGCGATATGCATTCGTGCAATATGCCGGCGATACTGCAGTTAGCAACGTGGTCTTTGCAGTTCTGGAAAAAAATTTCTGGAAAATAATCTTAATTTTTCCACAATTGTCCTCCTTGACATATTGTGAAGAAGTATATTGATCCTTTTCTTTCTTTTTCATCTGTACGGTGATAAAATTTTGCGTATCATACAAA